TTTTTCTATCTATCTATCTATTTATCGTTTGTATGAGTATATGCTATATGTATGTGTATATGTGTTTCCATCATCTGTTTATCTGTCTAGGCCTCTCTGTTTGTCTGTCCGTCTGTCTGTTTATCTTTCTAGACCTATCTATCTATCTAGGCTTATCAACCTATCCATTTATCTAGGCCTATCTATCTATCTACGTGTATGCATGTACGAATCTATATATGTATGTATGTTTGTTTGTTTGTTTGTATGTATGCATGTATGTATGGATAGATGAATGTATGGATGAATGTATGTATGTATGGATGGATGGATGGATGGATGGATGAATGTATTTATGTATGTATGTACATTAGTATGCATGTATATTTATACATGTATGTACGTATATGCGATGTATACATGATATACATACACATATAAATTTATCCAATCATAATTATTAACCCACACCTCCCTCACGCCCGCCTTCCCTCCCCGGCAGGTATCATGGGTCCGCGGGCGCGACATCCGCCTCCTGACGACGGGCTCCATCACCTACACGTCGGATACCCGCTTCGTGCCCTTCAATCCCTCTGGCGGTCAACAGTGGATCCTAAAGATTCATTACGTAAGACTCACTGACGCCGGCTCCTATCTCTGCCAGGTGTCGACCACGCCGCCTATCACCCACGCGATCAACCTGACTGTGCATCGTAAGATCGATTTTTTTGAGATTTCTTGGAAGGGGTCAGGGGGGGGGGGTAAAGAAATATTGGGGGGGGGAGGGGGGGAGGGGGGAGGATGTAAATGTATATGTTTATATATATTTTTTCTCTTTTCTTTTTGTTTTGCTTTGTTATGTTTTGCTTTGCTTTTATTTCTTTCTTTCAGTTTTTTTTTTCTTTGGTGTCGATTTTCGGAGCTGGCTTTCTTTACTTTATTTCTTTTTCTTGTATTTTGTTATTTATTCTCTCTCCCTCTCTCTCTCCCCCCCTTCTCTCACTCTCTCTCTTTATTTTTCCCGGATATTTAAAGTTTTGGTCACTCGTTTCAACTTTGCAACATTATCGTCATTTTTATGCAATCTTATAATCAGGGAATTTTCACCTTTCTTCATAATCGACTGAGTTGTTTCGTTTGTACTGGAACTAAAATAACTCCCATTAATAAAAAAAAGGAAAAAAAAAAGAAGAGGGAGGGAGGGAGGGGGGGGGGAGACGGAGAGAAATCCTATATTGATGACGACCCATCAATTATTAAAATATCTTTCATGTGTTGTCTTTTTTTTTTTTTTTTTTCTTTTTTTGTTTGACGTAACTTTTCCCCCAGACTTCTTGCGTCTTTTTCCTTGACTTTCCCTCACTGCCTCGTGAACACGAATGAGGCGAAAGCAGGTCTTTTGTGAGGTCGCCTCTGTTGACCGAAGTGCTCTCTAATTCTTACAGATTTCGAGTCATTATGCTAATTTGGGTTCGAACTCATTTAAGCCATTTCTTTTTCTTATTTCTTCGAGGTGCCTTGAATATGCACGGTGATGAGGGTAATCTGGCCTAGGCTCGTGTTTTCGAAAGATAGATAAGGGACTTATACATGCACACACACACAAACGCACACACGTACACACGCACACTAACATACACATACACACACGCACGCACACACACAAACACACACACACACACACACACACACACACACACACACACACACACACACACACACACACACACACACACACACACTCAAACACACACACACATGTGTATATATATATATATATATATATATATATATATATATATATATATAGATATATATATATATATATACATATATATACATATATATACATATATATACATATATATAAATATATATATATGCATATATATGTATATATATGTATATATATATATATATATATATATATATATATATGTATATATATATATATATATATATATATATATATATATATATATATATATATATATATGTATATATATATATATATATATATATATATATATATATATATATATATATATATATATATATACATAAATATATACACGAGTATATATATAGAGAGAGAGAGAGAGATAGATATATAGTTAGGTAGACAGAGAGATAGACTGATAGATATATATATAGATAGATAGATAGGTAAACAAAGAGAGAGATAAATAGACTGATAGATAAATAGACAGATAGAAATCTTCCTCAAGCCATGGATTCACGTTCTTTAGGTTCGCATCCAGAACACAAAGACCGGCAACCTGACTGACAGGCGGGTGCCTTGTGAGCTTCATTACCCCTCGAAGGAAAATTTTCTTTTTCAATCACTCAGGGTAAAGACCGCAGCCTCCTGTGACCTTCGAAGTCTTAAATCGCCTCTCTCTCTCTTTCTCTTTCTTTCTTTTCCTCTCTGTCTCTCTTTTTCTCTTTTCCGTTCTCTCTCTCTTTCTCTTTCTTTCTTTTCCTTTATCTCTCTCTTTCTCTTTCTTTCTTTTCCTTTATCTCTCTCTTTCTCTTTCTTTCTTTTCCCCTCTCTCTTTCTCTTTCTATCTTTTACTCTATCTCTCTCTTTCTCTTTCTTTCTTTTCCTCTCTGTCTCTTTCTTTCTTTTCCTCTCTCTCTTTCTCTTTCTATCTTTTCCTCTATCTCTCTCTTTCTCTTTCTTTCTTTTCCTCTCTCTCTCTCTCTTTCTCTTTCTATCTTTTCCTCTATCTCTCTCTTTCTTTTCCTCTCTGTCTCTCTCTTTCTCTTTCTTTCCTTTCCTCTCTGACTCTCTCTTTCTCTTTCTTTCTTTTCCTCTCTGTCTCTCTCTTTCTTTCTTTCTTTTCCTCTCTGTCTCTCTCTTTCTCTTTCTTTTCCTCTCTCTCTTTCTCTTTCTATCTTTTCCTCTCTCTCTCTGTTTCTCTCTTTTCCTCTCTCTCTCCCTTTCTCTTTCTCTTTTCCTTTCTCTCTCACTCTCTTTCTTCTTTTCATCTCTCTTTCTCTATCTCCCCCCTTCTCTCTCTCTTTCCCCGACGCAGAAATAATCGCGGATTATCGGAAATGTCGAGGTCTCTTTAACGAGGCTCGGGCTAACGTCCTCCTGATTAGAAAATGCGGAAGGCGTTGATTTTCGTCGTTGGATCTTCGTTAGAAAACCAGCCAGGGAGATGATACTCTTCCTCTTTTCCGGTTGATTGGATAATTGTTGAATTGTTACTTTTTTGTGTGTTTTTTCTGTTTGTTTGCTTTTTTATTAACGAGGCTATCACTTAGGTTGGTCATGGGTTGTGGTTATGTAGGCTTGCGGATCTGGAATTCATTTGGGAAGGCAATTTGTCAAAGTGACTTTTTTCTTCTTCTTCTTTTATTACTTTCACGGCTCGACAAAGCCATTTTTTTGGTACTCTTTTTTCGGGGGGGAGGGGGTGTTTTTTTCGTGTTCTTGCTGATTATATATTGGACTTGCAAATGGGTCTTCCTTTTCCCATTCTCGTCTACTTTCCGTTCTATTATTTGAGCTTCCACCTTTTGCGAAATATTTTTAAGACTATTGCCTTTATTGCTGTTTTTTTTTCTTTCTTTTTTTTCTTCACCCGGCTTTCACACGCTCCCTTCATATTCCCTTGTTCCTCTCATCTTCTCTTATTCTTTTTTTTTTTAACTTCTCTCTTCGCTTTCCTACTCCTCAATCTTTTCTCCCGGCTCCTTTACTCGCCAGCCTTGCTTTCGCTCTCTCTTTGTTCGTCTGTCTCCCTCGCGTTTTCGCTTTTATGCAAATCCGCCGCATCTGAGCCCAGCCCGTGAGCCAACCTCGCTCCCTCTCTCTCCCTCGGCGCCCCCCAGCAGAGGCCGTGGCGAAGATCCTCCCCGCCCCGGAAGTGCACGTGCAGCTGGGCAGCCGACTGGAGGTCACGTGCCAGGTGGAGGGATGCCCGCCACCTGCCCTCTTGTCCTGGACCAGGGAGGGCCAGCCGGTGCTCACGCCCGACTCCAGCAACTACGACCTGGCCAACGGGAATGCGACGACGCCCATCGCGACCCTCACGCTAGCACGCCCGCACGCCGAAGCCAGAGACTCGGGCTCGTACAGCTGCTCGTCCAAGTGCACGACCCCCGTCAACGTGACCGTGCACGTCCTGCGAGGTTGGTGGGAGCGGGATAAGGAGGAGAAGGGAGGAAGGAGAACACTAATATATACCTACATGCATGTAGACACACTGTGTGTGTGTGTGTATACACATATAGACGTATATACAGTATATATATATATATATATATATATATATATATATATATATATATATATATATATATAAATATATATATATATATATATATATATATATATATATATATATATATATATATATATATATATATACATACTGTATATATAATATATATGTATCTATAATATAATATCTAATATATATATATATATATATAATATATAATTATATACATATATATACACTTCTGTACATTATTTATATATATATATATGTGTGTGTGTGTGTGTGTGTGTGTGTGCGCGCGCGTATGTATATATGTATATAAGCATATATGTATATATGTATATATGTATATATGTATATATGTATATATGTATATATGTATATGTATATGTATATATATATGTATATATATACATATATATATATATATATATATATATATATATATATATATATATATATATATGTATATATATTTATGTATGTATGCACACACACACACTTATACACACACACACACACACACACACACACACATATATATATATATATATATATATATATATATATATATATATAAATATAAATATATATATATATATATATACACACACACATATATCAATATACACATATATATATATATATACACACAAATAGATACATATGCATGCATGTGTGTGTGTGTGTTTATATATATATATATATATATATATATATATATATATATATATTCTTACCAGCTTGTCCATATGCGGGGTCGTCGTTGTGAAAGAGACTTCTGCATACATTTATATTCTTCTTCCTATGATCTTTATTAATACAATCTTCCCATCGTGTTCTAGGTCTTCCTCTTCTTCTGTTTCCTTGTGCTTCCTTTTCCATGACTTCTCTTCCTACGTGATCTTCTCCAGCTCTTCTCGTCAAATGGCCAAACCATCTTAGTCTCCTGAATCTTCTTAGAAATTTCCACTACTTTCACTGTACCTCTGATGTAGTCGTTTCTTATTCTATCTCTCCTTGTGACTCCAACCATCTATATCGACTTCTTCCATCTCAGCTTCGTCCAACTTCTTTTCTTATATCTTCTTCAGTGGTGTTGCTTCTAGGCCGTAAGTTGAGGCTGGTCTGACTACGGCCTTATGCACCTTACCTTTGAGTTTAATTGGAACTCTTCTATCGCGCAACACTCCTGACACTTTTCTTCAATTATTCCATCCACTGAATTTAACTTCCTTATCCATTCCGGCAGTTACATCGACCATTGAACCTAGATATTTAAAGGTTCGAACTCTTTTCACGTTCTCTCCACCTAGCTTTATTGTAGCTAGTTGGTCGCCATCTATATTTGTATTATATTTTCTGTCTTGGACCTGCTTATTCTCGTTCCTATGCTTTCTGATGCAAAGCTCCATTCTTCTAGTTTCCTTTCTAGTACTCTTTTAATTTCTGTCATTAGCACAATATCATCAACGTACAATACGCACCATGGTGGTTCTTCACTTCCATTTTCCGTGATGACATAAAACACTATGTTGAATAGCAGTGGGCTAAGTGCCGGTCCTTGGTGTAAGCCGACCATTACTTCGAAGTGTTTTGTTATGCCCACTTTGCTCCTAACGCTCTTTATCACGTCCTTGTAACATTCCTGGATCATTCTTACATATTTTTCTTGTATTCCTCACTCTCGGAACCCTCTCCAGACTTCTTGGCATGGCAATTGGTCTTAAGCTTTCTCTTAGTCGATGGATACCATATGCAGCACTATTTGCTTCTCCTGTTCCGATCTCTTTCATAAAACTAAGTTGTTGTCGGCCAATGCGCACTACTTGTATAAGTCGCGAATTCAAAATCCTTTCCAGTAGTTTAAAAGTGTGAGACATCAGCTTAATACCCCCATAGTTCTCACAACTCTGAATATCTCCTTTCTCTTTGAAGATTGGTATCAAAGTACTTTCTCTCCACCTTTCTCGTATTGCTTCCCTTTCCATTATCTCTTTCATCTATCCATGCAAGATGTCAACTCCTCCCAAAGCTTTCCATACTTTCACTGGTATGTCCCATAGCTTTTCCATTCTTCATCTTCATTGGTGCAATTCTTGATCATTCGGCTCTCCATTTCCTCTCAAATATCTATCATTTTCTTATCAATCTCTCTCTCTCCACACACACGTATATGTGTGTGTGTGTGTTTATATATACAGTACATAAAATATACACGATACACACACACGTGTGTGTTTATATATATGCTGTACATAAAAGATACACGACACACACACACGTGTGTGTGTATCGTGTATCCTATCTAATTACCTCCCTGCAGAGGAGCTGGCCGCCATGCAGCACCACAACGCAGCTTCCCGCAAGGTGGCTTCCGCCGACCTCCTCAGTTCCGTCCTGCTGGCGATGGCGCTGCTGGCGTGGTGGCGTTGGCAGCAAGGGGGCCACAACACAGGCAGTGTCGAGTGCCAGCTAGACTTGGTACTCCCTGCGGACTTGACTGTGACCTGAGGTTGACGCAGAGAGGAAGGAGAGAGGGAGCAGGAGGATTCGCATCTGAGAGTGGGGAGTTTCCTCTCTTTTGAGGTGAGTGTGGCGGGTTGGAGTTATTGCTTGGGATTTCGAGCCTTGGAGGTATTGCTTGGGATTTCTAGTCTTGGAGTTATTGCTCGGGATTTCTAGTCTTGGAGTTATTGCTTGGGGTTTTGAGCCTTGAAGTTATTGCTCGGGATTTCTAGCGTTCGTGCGCTGTTTCGGTCCGATGTCAAGAAGGTGAACGGACATGTATATAATAACATAGCGCGCGATATCATATATAGGACACATATAGTCACAGAGAGATACAGTTTCAGTGGGAGGTTATATCTACGGACCTAATTTACCATTTAATCCATGTACCTAAGAAATAACTTTAATAATGACTCATTAAATTTGTTATGAACCTTGTCTGCATTTTTTACGGCTTGGGAAGACGCGTATAAATTAGTCTTTTATTACAGTATGAAAGGGAAAATATGAAAAATGGCAAGGGATATTAATCGAGAAACTAAAATAATAATGATAACAATATATAAAACTTGATTTATATTTTTGTATATATTTCAGGTGTGGCTGTGATGTCCAATTTCCCAAATGCCGTTCTTGCCCGTAAGTGGCTAGCCGTAAACCTTGGTGTTCATGTTGATGTGACATTATATGAACAATTATCTGTCCCCTTGTACCATAAGCTGTGTATATATTCACACATACTACCATTTATTATACTGTGGACTGAATGTACTGA